AAAGGGTGGCAAAGACCCCTATAAATTCCTTTAGACACTCTTCTGACTGTTTGACTGACGTTTCAAAGTGGGTGCTTGCCCATAATTGGCTTGAACTCATCAACTCTTACACACTTGGCACATTAGTCTGTTGCCACGGGAGCGAACCAATAATAGCCGAACACTGACCTCATGCCGTCGATGATGGTAATAATGATATATATGACTCAGCAAAATACACTCGTTTGCAAACAAATTCGGTTTTGCGAGAGACTCATCTGGAACCCAGCTGAATCGCTCGTTCGTGATGTTTCCAGGCATCGCGATACATGTATAGTCGTAATGCACTACTCATAAGGTTGCCGAAATTCCATCGGCAGCCCACGACCGGTTTCGCCCTTCTTGGGGCTCATCAGGTAGGCGCTGTCCCCGGGTTTCCGTCAACCTTATGCTCTAGTTGAAAACAAATTGTACGAAATTAGCGAATATACACTCATCTGCAAACTAATTTGGTTCTTTCGAGAGACTCACCTGGAACCCAGCTGAATCTTTCGGTTTTGATGGTTCCCGGCAACTGAATGTGTTGCATCAGGCCGCCTCATGTTTCAGTTGCTACGATATTCGAGACATCGTAACACATGTATAGTCGTAACGCACTACTCATAAGGTTGCTGTTGAAGAATTTTCGGCAACCGTGCATCCGATTTATCCAAAGAGATCCCCTTTCATGGTGACTTCTGACACCAACTGATCAGAGATTCTGTTCAGGAGTCTAGAATCGAACCCGTACAACCTACCCCCGACTCTTACATCATTCCTATTCTCATCTCCTACTTGTTTGTTCCATGATATAGGAAGTAGTTGACGGAGATGAGCAAATAAGTAGTTTATCCCACCTGTTCCCACCACAGAACGAAAATTTGTCATCGGTTCATACACTATCCAGTCTGTGTTTCCTTTGCTTTCACATTTCGTCTGCAGAAGAGCCTTGACTCCACTTTGAGTTTAGGGGTGAGAAGTTGTCCGATAATTTAATCAGTCTACCACTGACACATACTCAGTAGTCTCCCCGAAAGAAGGAATTAGCCCCGTACATCCTCCTCCCAAGGAGTCCGCAAACAAGCAGCTTAGCTAACGAGTGCTCAGAAGTAAAGTAAAGAAAAAAACATACATTATACATCGAATCGGATACAACGTGGGGACAGCTAACCCCCGCTCATGTCTATTTTAAGCCGACCTACGTATAATGCTGACCACACTACCCTCAAAACAGACTCCGTTGTTTGAAAAAACGGTTGAACACAACTCACCCGGGGATCCAATGGAGTTGCGTCCTTGTAAAAGTACCACAGACGAGTATCGTTGCTGTAGGACAGCTTGAATCGTGTCACGTACTGTGGACGCTTGTAGTCTCCACGACCCTTCAAAATCACGCCTGTGATTTGAGTAGGCGGGCCAACATCAATTTGAAGCCATTGTTGAACTTGAAAATGGAACGGAAGGTAGAAGAAGAGATTTCCGACCAAAGTGTGATGTTTGTGTGTAAAACAGGGCTTATCAGTCGAAGATTGTCCGCAAACCTATGACAGTGTCACGTCGGTGTTTGCCCTCAGTGACTGAGCTTGTCTTGGCTGGTGATCAGCTGTTCCGTTCAGAGCAAACCAACCCGTCCTCTAATCACACGGCCCACCGCCAAAAAATCTCCCTCGTTCATCATCGGGTCATATCCCAAATTCCAAAAACTTTAAGATGCATGACACATCGGCTTTTACGAGTTTCACAACTCGACAAACCCAGGGTTAACTTGTGCGAAATTTTTTATCAGTTCACAGAACAACAGGTATAGGCGCCATCCACAATCCAAAATCAACGTGGAAAAATCGTTCAACTGTCTGGGCGCCGAGCAATACTGGGTGAGAAAACGCCTCGACTTTACGAAAAAATGTCACCGCATTTTACGCAAACCCATTGGTGGCTTCTGGTTGGAAAAAAAACAACCTGAGGTCTCCGAAAACACCGTGGAATCTACTTCGCAGTTCCTTTTTTTGTCTAAAGAAATCAGCTGGTCTCAGGACTCACTTCAGCTGTTTCCTTACGGTAAGTCTGGTGAAAGTTTTTGGAGTCTGGAATTTAAAAAAGCTCCGCAAAAAGTCACTGGTCTAGAAGAAGGTTAACCAGAAGATTGATCCATGTAGCTCTTCACGATCTTCCTCGGTCGGTTCAAGGTGTCACTATTGTCAGAGACATCATGAACCGCGGGTGTATCATCGGTACGGTTCCGGAACGTCTTTCACAAGCAGTTTGAATACAACCGTTCGGTCACGAGCGGCTGGTCAGCAGTTTGATATTAACTCTCGCCTAAATAGGATACAACGCCGCTGATCCTCCAATCAGGGGATTCACATCACGTGGTCACGTGTTGACTGGCCAGAGATACACAATTTGGTACGGTTTGAACAGTGTTCAACAAATTCCTAGTGGATGGGCAAGATGATGACTTTGCCGTTCCAAACTTGAAGCTGATGAAATTAATTACGATTTTAGGTGAAACTAGCCTTGACATTTTGAGTACCTGCTGGGATGCCCATTCATGTTCTTGTGTCTGGCTACAGTGAACTCCCGTTACATCGGTAATCTTTTCAACCGTTGTTCTGTCAACCAGAGCACGCAGGCCTCCACTGAAATCCCAGAGTATGCGTCGGTGGATTTTTTAGCCGCAAAGATTACAGCACATCCGTCATGACGAAAAATTGTCGATATATCCCCATGATCCAAATCGATCTGTGTAACGATACTCCGACGATGTGTGCTCTGGTTTGGAGCTACCAGTCACGTGAGCGTAACCAGAACGAATGCGCATGTTGCAAGTCATGAGGTATCAGGCTTGCTATCCAACTTACTTCTAGAATGCTTTTTACTGAATATAACCTAAATTCAACACCCCTACCTCGACGGTGGCATCAACCACTCGCTCAGTACCAATCTTTCTAAAGTCACGTGATTTGTTCTGCTCCTGTCAATCTGCGTTACTAAGCTTTCTAAAGCTCACCCATTTCTGTAAACCTGTGTGGGGCTATTGAATTACAGTGTTATTTTTGGTTATTCCATCCCCCTTGATGATCTTCTGTGTCTCATCGGGCCCAAGTATGGCAGTTTGAACTACCACAACGAATTGACGTTTTTATGTTGCTTGAGAGGCTGTGAGGTTATCTACCTAAGATGGAGGCTGATCAAGGACTCACAGCTTCAGCACTCAAGAAAAACAGAAGGAAGTCACCAAAATCATTCCATGAATGTTTAGACGGCATTGCCAGACTGGTTGGAAGAACCTATGTGATGATCATCTACAACCGAGACGACCTACAAACAGCCTAGGTCATCAGAAACAGAGTCTAGACTATCTTACAACATACTGTATGCACACCTATTTTCTGGCAGTGGGGTTTTTTATGACAAATGGGGTTAGAGCGTTTGGTATTTATTTTGGTTTGTTATACTCTCAGTTACCATATTTAGCGGTATGGCTACAACTGGAGTAAACCCGGGCTAAATCCACGGGATTCCAGCCAATTTCTGGCGGTATATTTACCGAATACACAATAATCGATCTCTGCCATCCATTTCAAAAGGGACCCCTTACAGACATATGGAAAGTTGAAATCAGTGATCTGCATCCCTCTAGCCAGGAGATCACCAAGGGTCCAGAATGCCCCATTCCAGACATGAGTCGCACTTGTTGAATTATCGATCCATAGTGAGTATAGCTCACTGACTTGATTTCTTACGGATGCTGAAAGGAAGATCATCGCTCTAACATAAGTATATATCGATTTTGCATCGATTTCATAGCGTTTCGGTTTGCAGTGTCTTGACAGACTCACCATGCGGTTCTTGTTGTCAACACTACCCCGGGGTCCAAGAAACTCTGAAAAACGGGACGAATCCTACAACAGTTCGTCAGCTAAATCCCTATATTTCTGACAAACCATTCTGGTTCTATCGAGAGACTGAACTGGTTCACAGCTGAATCTCTAGTCTACCATACTCTTCAACTACCTCGCAATTCAGTTGACATGCTATTCGAGATATCGCGGTACATTTTCCTGAAGGAACAGTGTTCAAAAGGTTGGACAGTTTTCAGCAACTTTATAAGTAGTATTCCTTCAATAAAATGAATGTATTTTTGGTGTCCTGTTTCTAAGTCTGTGCTGACAACACCCAACCGGTTAAACTCAGAGTTCCTGTGCTATGGGGGTGACACACTCACAATATGTGTTCCCTCGGAATCGACAAGGTTTGACAACCGGTTTAAAACTTCCGTGGTTGGTTATAACACTCTCAGGAAAGAACTGCATGTTCTTCACCGTGTTTGTCACTTCACTGTCCTTTTGATTGTATATTTGTTTGCGTCATTGGGTGTTTCACTAGTACACTCATAAATGGTCATTGGATGAATCGCTGTTCCCTGACTCAGCCCTTTGATTCATCCTCAGGACAAACACATGAATTGCGACCTTGGGTCATGTTGGTTGGTCGGAAAACCGTTTTTTCGACTTCAACAGTGCATCTGGTCCGCGACCAATGCCCGCGTGCCTTACTGACTTAGCATATTGTGTGAATGTGTGTGAATGTAGGCCGAAAAACTCGGGCGATTCGTTTTAGTCAGACTGGTGTAATGGAACAAACAGAAATTGTTTACTGGCAGATTTTCTGTTGCCAACACACCCTAATGTTTTGAAAACATACCTACAAGATGGAAAAATAAGGTGTTCGTGAAAGCATTCCTCATGGCAGTGAAGCATCAGTGCCAACACTGATGTTGCTGCCTTTGAGGATGATGATGACCGGCACTTTGCACCAATCAGTATGGAAATTCGGACCCACGACCTTCTTAATGGGAGTTAAAAATTAATCGGTCAGTAGTATGTGTTACCTGTACTTGGATATGATGGAATGCCTTGAACCTTCAATCGCATAGTTCGTACCACGCGATCTGGTGTCCACCGGCTCCTCGAGTGATGGCGCCTCAAACGAAAGATTTACGGTTCGTATGGGTTTTTCCTCTCCACAAGGATTGCTTGTACCTTCCGAATCACGCTACCGCCAACCAGATTAAGCCGCTGATGAATTTCCGTTTTCTGTGAAAGGTCCCCTGAACATGCTAGTGGTTTCTTGGAGGAAACTATTCATAAAGTTACTAAAAACCCTCTTGGGGATGGCCAGACAGAAGCAGTCCTCTAGTTTCCGTCAACCTTGTGTTCGACACGAAACCAAATTGTACAAAAGTCACGAACTATACTCATCATCATCATCATTGTCAGCTGTAATAACCGCGTACTCGTCGTACTGTGGTTGTAGCTACCGCAGTTTCGTTCACCGATGATTTGGGGGGAAGGGGTAGGTAGCTGCGCGTTGCAGGCGGGAGCTGATAAATTGGTGCATAAATCCAGCACTGTCAGTGGGCTGTCAAGTGGGGGTTGGCTGGAAAAGGAGCTATGCATTGAAGGCAATAGCTTGGATGCACGAACGCCATTGAGGGCGCGACTGGACTATATCTGACAATGTCTCTAGCCATTGATGTGGCCCGTCTCGGGGTCCCCATCCAGGAAGACGGCAATGACCAACGCAGCTGAGTTTGCTGGTAATGGCTTCCATACTTCGCTGCCAAGTCATTGGTTGACCGCCTCTGGCTCTCTTCCACCCTTCACATGGTTGGGCGAAAAGAGCCCTTCGAGGAAGTCGGTCGACTGGCATACGCAACACGTGGCCAAGCCAGCGCAACCGATGTAGTGTGATCAGTTCATCTCTCGGGGGTGAGTTATTTCTCCCGAATAACATTCGACGTACTTCAGAATTGCTGATCCGGTGTTCCCACCGGATTCGGGCAATGCTCCGAAGACATCGATGGTCAAATACTGAAAGTCTTTTGACGTCCTCGGCGCGCAGCGGCTCAGCTGAATTCCAGCCGCCTCTCTTGTTTATGGTATTCCTCACTCGAATGTGATACACAGGGACACTTCATGTTTCAGTCGGCACGATATCCGAGATGTCGCGGTATATTTCTTATAAAAGAAACTACTCACAAGCTTGCTGAAAACTCTTCAGTTGAATCTCTCGTGAAAACCAAATTGATTTGCAAATGAGCGTACATCGCGGTATGCTTTCTTGAAGGAAACTATTCGTTCATAAGGGTGGAACCGGCATTAGGCTGTCCAAAAGTTCCCAGTAATTTTACGAGTAATGCTCAGTCAGGAAACTATACCGTGACATCTCGAATGTGGTGAGACACAAAGTGGTCTTTGTGTAGCTTATTCAGTTGGATTACATCACAAACGAGAGATTCAATTGGACTGAGACGAGCTTTTGGTCAAAACCAAAATGGTATTCAAATGAGTGTATCTCTCAAATGCTGGCTGATAACTTGCTCAAGCAATCATCTCATTACCGATGAATAACCACCTGTCTAGGCGAGACACCTGACTA